ATTTAATTCCATACGAAAGGTGTATTTATCATCCATTTTTACTTTGATACAAACAGGTATTTCAGATTTTTATAGAAATATGACAACAATCACATATCTCACACAGAGATCGCACTGTCATAGTGTTTGGGAAAATTCATGCATAATTTAAATACATAATCATATGAAATCAGATAAAAATAAAACATTTTAGAAGAGAACGCAGCATCACAGTTGTCTGAACCAATGAGCATTAAGATGTGTCGCCAGTCAGTCGTTTCCCATCATGCATTTGATCAGCGCAGTCGGTGGACAGCAACTGCGCTCGATATGGCGCGCACTCCGTGCCAAAATCAAACGTTCGAACGACCGACCGATCGAACGTCAAACCGAACGTCTATCCGAACGTCTTGAGCTTTGAGCGTCACTGCGGGTGACCCACGTGACGACCAGACATGACGTCAGCATCTTGAAATTAGCTGGTTTTTAAACATGTAAAGAGACATGCTGCTGTGTAAAGGCTATAAATGGACTTTACAGGCAATACATATAGATATTGTTCACCTAAAACAACACTAAATATTTTTTTTCTGAATCCTGTGCTTGAGTATGTGTTTTACTTTCAAAGAGCAGACATACTGTACGTTTTTATTGTTTATAGTATTATACAATGTTCACAGTGTTACATATAGCAATCAGACAATTAAATTATTTATTTACTTTTCTAACAAAGGTTACAATTTTCAAAAATGGACATACTGTCATATTGAGAACATTTATGTCAGGAATATTAAACTACATACTATACAGCAATTTAAATAAAGTTGTCTGCCAAAAATTATAAATATTGGGAGTTGTCATTACAGGTACAGGTTTAAAAACACTAAGAACATATTATTTTTTTTATTAATTTGTTCAATATTAAAATAGTTAAACATAAATTAACCTATTTTAGTTAATAGCTACTTTGAAGTTTAACATTAAAATTCCAGGAGTCTTTACAGTGGACAGCTGCTCTTACATTTAAGGTAAAAACTTTCAATATGTTCTCATGAACTGCTAGAATTTGTGAGTTTTTATAGATGTTTAATGGGGTTATAAAATATTTGTGCAAAAATCAATTTGCGCGATTTGTGCATAAAGCTTGATTGAAATAAAGAACATCACTTTTGTTTGCATTTACAGAGA